TGAGGTTGGATATAACATTCGTAAGTAGCGAAATAAGAGGGGTAATGAGAGATCTAAATTCGGAAAGGAAAGATGTCAGTAGGCTTGTGAGGTCAGTGGAATTGGAAGGAGGAGGAATGAATGTATGGGTATTTAACCTACGTTCGGGGATGGAGGGATATGGGTCTTGAGGTTGATGTGTGAATTCTTGAGGTTTAGGTTCTTGTGGCAGGGCCTGAGATTGAGTGTTTACAGTGTCTCCTTTGAACATCTGAGCATAGGACACTCTTCCGTTCACTGTTCTAGAGGGTTGTCTTGGTGGCCTGGATGTCCCTTCTTCTCTAGGCGTTGCGTACATTCGTGTTTTTAAATTTTTGTATGTTTGACAACCCTTATAGTTGGCTGGGTGTCCTTGGTGGCATAAAGCGCATACTGCAGGTGAAGTTCTTGACTTCCTACAGTCCTCTGTTTTGTGTTGCTCACCACACCTCACACATCTAGGAATGTGATAACAATACCGTTTCGTATGGTCATAAGCCTGGCAGTTATGGCATTGAACGATGTCGCGCTTGCTGTAGGGCTTTTCTACAACAACTCTTGTATAATAAAGGCGTGTGACCTTGTAGATGTTTTCGACATCGGGTGTTCGGTCAAGGTCAACGAAGAATAGTGGAAGTGGTATTTTATTTTTTATTCCAAGCTGTTCTTTACCCTCCTTGAATATGTTCACTATCTGGCGAATATGGAACCCCATACCCATGAGCCCATACCCATACCCATACCCTTTTATAGCCTGAACCTACTAGATTATTCAATTGATGACACATCAATTGAAAATTTTTAATATTTCTAACAAATATTGGTGGGGATTTAGGTTCTCTGGGGGTGGATGCTGCTTCCATTTGTTCGTTATTTATATTTGAAAGCACTTCAAATGAATTCGAAGAGAAAACGGAAATTCTTCGCCCATAGCTTGAGTTGTCTCATAATTGTTAGGTTGTTGTGAGGAGCCAGGTTGGGGTTCCACTTCTTCTATGGAGCTCCCTGGTGTGGCTGGTGGAGTGTTTCTTTTCGAATGCCTTGTCTTTTTTTTAATGGGAGAACTCATTGTAGTATCGAGGCTCCTGGACCTAGTGTTTTTGCCCTTACTCGACATTAGCATGTGATAATATCGCATTTCATATTAATTTTTAAAAGTAAAATTGATAAAAGTGAGGCGATGAAAAAAAAAATATTTTTATTGAAGACGAAAATATAGACGCGCGCTTGGAGAGCGCAGGTCTGCTTCCGACGGATGGCTCCAGCCCACTAGTCAGATTAACGATGTATATGGCTGGCCGTTATCTAACTAAACTAACTGTTCACTCTTGTGTTGTAAATAAGTGATTACTCACCTTATTTTTTTGTCCAGTATCAAACTTAATTGTTAATGTAACTGATAACACTAATTGTTCACATTAAACTTGTATACTGCCACTGATAATTGAAATTTTTTATAAGAGACGACCTGACATATGTTTAACTAGGGCTAACGCATGTGCAGAACTTATTTAAGTTTGTAGAGTAGTCAATCGTGCCAGACTCTGTCGAATGCTTGAGCAACATCAAGAAATACGCCTGTAGCGTATGATCTTTCTTCTAATGCTATTGAAATAAAGTCCGTGACTCTGTGAAGTTGATGTATGGTTGAATGTAGTGAACGGAATACGAATTGGTGTTCAGGTAGACTTTGGTTCTCTGTTAATATGTTGATTATGTGTCTGTAAAATATTTTTTTCAAAACATTTAGAGCAAATCGGAACTAGACTGATGGGTCTGTAGGAGGAAGGGCTATTGGGATTTTTGTTCGGTTTTTGTATCATTAGTATTTGTGAAAACTTCCATTGTTCTTAATATGGCGTTCAATAGGGTTGTTAGATATACTATTGCTTTTCTGGGCGTACGTTGGAGTAGCTCAGCGGTGATCAGATCATACCCTGGGGCTTTTCTTTTGGGTAACTTACGAATCGCTTGTCGTACTTCGGATGGAGTGAAAGTCGGAGAAGGTAATGTCAGTGGCAAAGGGATTTCAAGAGAATCTTGTATATATTTTTCATGTTGATTGTCTGGGTAGTCTGTATGTGGTGTGAAGACAGTCGATAGATGGTCAGCAAAGAGTTCAGCCTTTTTATTGTCAGACACGACCCAAGAACTATCCTCTTTTCGTAGTAGCGCAGGCACCTCGCGATGCTTCAGTAGCTTTTTAGTTTGTCTTCATAAGCTTCCATCGTCGGTGCTGAGGTTATTTATAAAAGTATCATAATTAATTTGTTTGATTTTTTTTATTATGCCGTTATTATTTTTATTGCCGCCATTATATATTCGGTTATATGTCTATTTATCCGATGGTAGTCTGTCAGTCTACCATACCTCTCGGGCTCTTCTCTTGGCTCTGATCAAATCCCTTATACGCTGTGGGTAGTTTGGCTGGTTATTTATTTGTTTATGTTTCGGAATTGATGAGATCCGTGCAGATTCCTGGATGTTCTTTGTCAATACTTCGACGACTTCCTCTTTGAGAAGGCTGAGGTTGTTGCAGATGTTGTGGCAGTGCAGGGAAGTCTTGTAGACCCATTGAGAGAGCAGTGTGTTGGGGCCTAGGATGAGATTGTGATCTCACAGTTTTTAGTTTCCTGAGTTCTTTTAAGATTTGGCATCCTCTATAGTTTGCTGGATGTGCTCCTTGACAGTTAGCAGCTCACACTTAGCAGCTGTATATCTTCGATTTAGTTTTCATTTTTTAGTGAGACAGGAACTGAAAATCGCTGATTTAAGTTGGCTTGAAAACAATTCCAATCTATGTTTCCTTTAATAAGTGATCGGCGTTCTTCTTTTTGACATGGTTCTTCAAAAAGGACCATGTGTAGAAAGGAATGATCAGAGCATAGATCACAGCTAGATTTAACTGTGTATGGTATGGCCTGTAGTCCTTTAGTAATTTAGTAGGTCAGGTGATTTTAGTCTCGATGTAGGCCAATAAGTTGGAGTATTTGGTGATATGGTGTTTAACGAAAGCTTATGGAGTGCAGCACAAAGATTTCTACCTCTTGGAGAGCACAATTGCGACCCCCAAACCTGATGCTTGGTATTGTAGTCGCCACCACCAATGAAACACCTTCCCAGTTTTTCATAGAGAGTACAAAACATGTCGGATGTCAGCGAGTAACGAGGGGGGCAGTATACTGCTGCTAATGTTATGGAGTGCACTGTTGTGTGCAGTGTTATAGCAGTAGCTTCTAGGTCTGGTATTTTCGGCAAAAGTATAGGATGATGTTTGAGTGATGTTTTGACAATGATGGAAGTTCCACCATGTGAAGTGTTATCTGGGTGATCTGTCCTGTAAATTGTGTAATCTGTTATATTTACTTTATTTCGAGAAGTAAGGTGTGTTTCAGTTGCAATGTACGTTCGTTTTTCATGTAAGTATATGTCCAGTTCGGTTTTATTTTTGAGAAGTCCATTTGTATTCCATAAAAGGATGGATAGAGAACCCACAGTTAAGCTTTTATGGGCCATACATAATACAGTAGGCTTGTGTGAGTTGTTGAAGTAGACTGAAAAGAGGTTGTATGATATTATTTAAACCATTTAATAATTGGTAATGTTGAGAAGAGACATTTTCAGCAAGAAGTACCGGCTGAGCAACGCCCTTTCTCATACCTGACATGCTTACATTTTTTTTATGTCTTTCTTCTTTAATGATTACAGAGTGTCGAGGCCCCTGCTGCTGTTCAGTCGCTGGTCCTCTTTGAGAAGGCTGGGATTGTTGCAGATGTTGTGGCAGTGCAGAGAAGTCTTGTAGACCCATTTGGAGAGCAGTGTGTTGGGGTCTAGGATGAGATTGTGATCTCACAGTTTTTAGTTTCCTGAGTTCTTTTAAGATTTGGCATCCTCTATAGTTTGCTGGACGTGCTCCTTATCAGTTGGCACACTTAGCAGTTGTATATCTAGATTTCAAGCATGTAGAGCTTTCATGTTTTTGCCCACACTTAACACACATGGGTGCATGATTACAGTAGGTCTTATGTGACCGTTTTTTTGGCATCTGTTGCACTGGGGTGTCAACTTTTCTTCAGCTTTTCTCACATTTTTCGCAATGGCTACCTTGTTTCGATCCTCAACTTATTGGCCTAATATTCCTTATATCAGCCGCCAATTTTGAAAGCAGCGGCTATGGAACGGAAGACAAGGTTCTTTTTACTCAGAATAACATACATTTTAGTAATTTACAGTCAAATATAGACGCCTGTGATGAGGTCGATTTTTGGGCCCTGGCTCCAGGGCTATATAGCTTTGTATTAGTTTGGGATCTTTGTTGGACTTCGGTATAAGGATTACTATTGCAGATGACCAAATTTTAGGAAATTCTCTATTAATCTACATATCATTGAGTAACTTTAATGACAGGTCAACTAATTTTGTAAGTAAATGCTTTATAAATACTATATGAATCTGATCCGGGCCTGGAGATGTGGAACGAGATGTTCTAATACTTTATTAAAATAACTAATTATGTACGCCCTTCAGAAAATATTACAAATTTAATTGATTAATAGCCCGGTCGACAATTAATCAGGCAAAGTCGTGGACAAAATTCATCTTTTCCATTACAACAGGCGTTTCAACAAAAATTGTTTAAAATAAAATAACAGCTATCAAAGTAGACAAATCAACAAAATTCCATTGCTCTTTAGTTTGAAATTGGAAAATTCTTATTGAGCCTAAGGAAATAGCCGATGGTTAGCATCTATCAAGTATTTCAGTACTTCAGTTCTCTCCTGTGCTTACTCATGATATTAAATCCGAAAATTTACATTTGAAAATGGATGAAGTACAGTCTATAATTTATAAATAAAGTAAATTGAGAAAAGTAAGGAAGTTATCAATCAATATACCTATATTAACGAAGACAAAACTTTAGGAGGTGAACTAGCGTTAGCGCTCCTCGTGGAATTATTTCAATGCTTCATATTTGTACGTTGCTTTGGTTTGGCACGTTGTGTTAGTGTTGGATTTTGTTGTGTTTCGAATTTTTTTTATTGGATATTTTGCAGAGTTCCTTTTAAAAGAATATTTATCTTTCATCTGTACCGTTCAATATATTTATTCTTAATTCATTTGAAAGATAAGTGAGTAAATTAAATAAACTATGTACTTTTATTCACTATTTATAATTTTATGTGAGATGTTTATTTTTTATTGTTATATTTGTAGTGATATTATCGAATAAGCTTACTTTAGGTATTTTTTCGCCTTTTAATAAAGTTTTGACTGTCACATTAATCCCATTTTGAATCAATAATATTGTAATATTCACAGTTTTTATTTAATTCTAATCAACCAGGTATGCCTTGTGTTCTGTATGTTTATTTAATCAGTGTGAGTAATTTTCCTAACATTAGTTAAGTAATGTCACATCACATCTGGTTGACAGATGGGTCAAGATCACATCGATCACATATAGAATTCTTTAAGCAGTCTTGTTTCGATATACACATTAATATAAAACTTTCCAATTTCATACCATCTTTATTCAGTCTTTTCAAGGTTTTATACCTTTAGGCTCATTTATAAATATTATTATATTTAACAATTGTATTCTATACACTAATTACAAAAGGAGATGAAACTTTTTACATAAAATTAGAAATAGATGTGGATTTTACTTTTTAAAGTATAAAAATTTACATGCTCCAAAATGAATATTGATATTTCTATTTGATTCTTATTGAATTTGTTTTTATTAAGATATCCTTTTTTTTTTATTGTTTGTTAGGGATTCTCTAATTTGTTAAACAAAAAGTAATCAAGAAATATTACTTATTTTTAATAAATTATTAACTAAAGAATAGTCAACATAAAGAATATTCATTTTGTAAAGTAATGGTCATATTGGAATTTTCTCAATTTTAATCCATTAATATTATGTTTAAAGATAAAAAGCCATCATATTGAACCAAAAGTTTTCGATATGTCAAGAGCATCGGCAAGCGAATATCGCCAATGCAGTTGGCATCTCTCAGATTGTGATCTCCCGGATCTTGAAACCGGAATTATCTGTAGGAAACCTGTTAGTGGATCTCTGCGCATTACGACACCAGAGAATGACGGAAATATTGTTATTACTGCAAGAAGCAATCCTTTTCATACTGGCCGACTGAGCCTAAATGATTTCTTTAATGTTCTACTAAGGCCCGTATCAACTCAAATCATTTGTAATTTTTTGTGAGAAGTTGGGTCTAATCCCTCTTATACCTCTTTAATATAACCTGCAGCAACTCTGTCAGTGAGTTTCCAGCTACTCTACTGATTATGGTGCAATGAAAACCTAAATTAGGATACAAATTGGAATGCTGTTATGTTTACAGACCAGTCACATTTCTGTATTTATAGTGATTGTAGGCACCAAAGAGTTTTCCGAGAACAGAGGATGGGTTTACTGCCACAGTTGTTGCTTTCTTTAATGCAGTGGTTTGGTGGTGCTGAGCTGGCATCTATTCATGAGGACGGACTCTACTCCATATTTTGGAAGGTAATCTCATTGCAGTTTGTTATGTTCAAGAAATTATAAAGGAGTACATTCCTCAAACCAGAACCACAATTGGCACAGATTTCCATTATCTTGACAACCATATGTGACTCCATAGGATAAAAATTGTTCATCAATCCCTTGAAAATCTGAACATTTCACATCTACCCCTTCCGGTATTTTCTCCAAATCTTAATACCATTGAGCACATTTGGGATACACTTCTGAGATGGCTTTTGACCACCCTCTTTGCTTCTTAATCTTCTGTAACTGAGAGTGGTATTGCCAGATTAATGGTATGAAATTCTTTGTGAAATCAGTGACAATGTTGTTGACTGCATGCTAATTATTAAATTTTACAAATTTCTTACAATTCGCAATCTTAAAAGTAAGGTCACAAAAATTTTCAATTTTATTATTTTTTTAAAACACTAGGTCTAATAAAATCTTATTTGTATTAATTTTCAATGTATTTTATAATAAAAATTCTAGGGAAAATACATAACTGACAATATCCCTATTCATATTTAAGCAGTTTATATAACGATTAATAAACATATTTAACTCATTATAATAAACGCATAAAAGAATTTAAACAAAGAAGTAAAAATTATAATAAGATATACATTAATATTCATTTATTTATTGTTAGAGTCAGAAACATACAGAGGGAATTGCCCTAATATATATTTAGTTGAAAAACAAAAAATAAATAAGAAAAAACAAACAGGAACAGTAAAAAAACAACAATACAAATGAATGATTATCAGTACAGAAGAAAAGGAAAACAAATACTAACCAACTATAAAAATGTTATGAATTTTTAACGTTTTAAAATAACAAAAGAATAATATGTAAAATGAACTGAGTACAACTTCATATTATTAAATTAAAAGAAAAAGCTCTATAACTGAAAAGTTTATGGTAAATGGAAATTCAGAAACAAAGATAATAAAGGATTGATAAAATTAAATTATTAAAATATCTTATTCACCAAATAAAAAAATATTGATTATAAAATGGTTATCAATAAAGCAACTGAAAAATTCTTGATAAACCATAAGACTAAAAAATGTTGTAGTTGTAAATTAATCAAGGCGGGGTTCCACTGAGGCAACACTGAACGACATGTTGCTTGTTTCCTTGTGTTGCCTATTGTAGCCGTCCGACCATCCGACTATGTGGCACAAAATTCAGTTAATGTCGCATGCGGAATTTGTTGCCCCACATTGCATGCGCTTTGTCGTACACTTGTGTAGCATGCGACTAAAGCGATTCCATTCAGGCAACTTCAGTTTGGTATATCATGTCATTAAAAACAGTCGCGGCAGCTGCACATTGGGTTATCGCTTTAAATTCGATTAATATAATTGATCTTTATTAAAACTGTTAGTACCCATTGGACGTGGAAGTGGATGCTCTGTCACTTTTATTCTATGAGTTTTTCTCTTAAAAAACTCATTCCAAGCTGCAGTGCCATTTAAAGTAATTTGTCTGTTCTTCACGAATTTGGTAAAAATCGACGTTCTTTGACTGTGGTTAACGAACATACCACTTCACCAAATTATCAAGTTTAGGTATTCGTTCGACTCACAATTTCACTTTATTTATGAAAGAAAAGATTTTTTGCTTTGTTGCACCGTTTAGGAACTATAGGTGAAAAAACAAGAAAAGATCGAAATAATCTGTTTTTTTAAAATATAAAACGTTTTTTCTTAGTGGCCCGCGTTAGCAATTTTGTTTTTACATGTCTCAACCAATATATATAAGTTAAAAAAATAGCACTGATCTGAGGGCTGTTGGATAGACGGCGACATTGTTCTACACTTTGAATCATGTGGAGAGGTTCGACAGGCAACAATGGTCAACTTGTAGCATTCGGCAAGGAGACATATTTTTTGTCACTTCGAGTTCCTTCTATGGAAAGACTGGAAAGTCAATACCGCATACTACATGTTGCCTCAATGGAATTCTACCTTAGTTATCTATGAATTATATGATTAACTTAGTAATAAGTAGGGCAAGTTTCTAAACTCAGGGTGGACATCATGGATGGCATTGGAAATCCATCGAACTGTTCCTAAACTAATTAATAAAAACATTGGTTGGAAATCGATAAATTCCTTAATTCAGCAATTGAATCACCGATGGCTCAGTGGCAAAGTTGCAGATAAAATGTTTCCCTCAATTGTCAGGGAATTGACTGATAAACAAATTTTAGCTGGTACTGATATTCCATTAATCAATATATTCCAAATTTTACCCAGCTTTTTTTCCTTATTGCTGAAAAATATCTCAATGAATTGTCGATTTGTATAGTGACCCTTACACTATCATTCGTGAATGAAAGTCACAAGAATTACAAAGATTGCTCGGGATCGCTTTGATCATGAAGACCCCTACACGTTCAATCATTACTTATAATTGCTGATGCCATTTACCTCAGTTGTAAACAAAGAAACAGCATAGATAAGCTTATTTGGACATTGTCCTTTATAGTATTGGACTTCAGGAGAAAAATGGAGATATTATAATTACTTCCTAGTGCCTGAAAATCGTTCAGACCAAAGTTAGAAAACTGTAAGTCAACTACTTACAAAAATTTAGGAAAAGTATTGCGAAAATAATCAATTTGTTAAGAAAAATGGAAAAATTAATGACAAATAAACACAACATTTAAAGATTTTTTTGTTCAATTTATTGCCCACTTGACTATTTAAAGAAAAAATAGTTGAAAATGGTATATAAAGATATGAACTAGGGATATAAAAAACTATTTACTTTTATGAAATTATTTAATTAAAAATGGGGCTTATGTAAACTAACCTATCTAGTAGTAAGGTTAGTCTCATAGAAAATCGTTTTGACAAAAGTTAGTAAAATATAAGTCTACTACTTACAAAAATTAAGGAAAGGTATTGCAATAATAATAAATTTGTTGAGAAAAATGGGAAAAGAACTGACAAATACACACAACATTTAAAGATTAATTTTTTTCTTTTAGTAAATTGTGAAGTTTCCACTTTTTTCATAATTCGTTGCCCACTTGACTATTTAAAAGAAATACTTGAAGATGGTTTATAAAATATAAACAAGAGATATGAAAAACTATTCAACTATTTACTTTTAATGAAAATCAAGAATTTATAATGGTTGTGAGGGCTAGGTAAACTAACCTATCTAGTAGTAAGGTTAGTCTCCCCACTACTTTTACCTCAGTTTCCTCTCCAATTCTCTTGAATGAACCTTTGATTTCCGGATGTTCGGAAATCCGTCAGACACCTCCATCAGTACTTCATTCACTACCTTACACGATAATTTGGAATGTCACTAGTGCCTCGGAATGTAATTCCGAATGACCGTGTAGGGTCCCCTTATAGAAATTTTAACTGATACTAATATTTCAAAAATTGATACACTTTTCGGTCTTATTTTTTCGAGGTTCATGAAGTTTCCTTCGAATATTCTCCTTGTATTATATATAGACCGATATATCCGAAATTAGTAAAGCTTCATTGGAATATTTTCCTTATTGTTGAATGAATGTGTGGATCAATCTTCTTGGGATTGACCTGTATAGAAATATGAGTTGATACCGATATTCTAAAGTCTATATATAGTTGTTTTTTTCTTTCTGTTGATGTTCGTAAAGTTTCACTTGAATTGATTATTAAGGAATAAATTAAAATGAATATATCGGTTTATTGGTCCATACTCATAATTAGCTAAAAGGCTGATATTAATATTGCTATCATTCATTCCCTAATGTTAACAGGAATTGATTCAACATTTACTAATTATGAAGTTGATTGTACTATATTCCATTTGCATTAATGTGATTTTGAGATTTCTAGTTACAATGATGCTTGATTTAGTAAAGAATTAAGTGATTAAAGCAATGTTGGAATCTTCCAATAACATTAAAATTTGTTGTCATTTTATGCAGTATCAAAACTTTTCTGTAGTATACTAAAAGTATATAAATATGCTGTAAAGGTATATATTAGTGATAAAAACTACTACCAATGAATAAAGATATGCTACATCCATGGGTATTATTTAGATAATCCTTTTCAATCAATGTTTACAATTGAAACAAAATTTAATCGCCAAAATGATTGTGTGTACGCTCACAGCTCTAAAGAAGCCCAGGAAGGAAGTCATTGGAAAAGTGGAAAGAGATCATCACCCTTCCTCAATGATGGTTTGGTGGGGAGTTTGCTTTGATGCCACCGTAAAGCTCTATTTTTGTGAAAAAGAGTTAAAACAGCCACTAAAAACTATTAGAACAATATTTTGGAACATGTTGTCATGCCTCTAAATGATACTCTGTTTGCTGCATGTCAATGGGTTTTCCAGCAGGATTCCACTCCAGCTCACAAGGCCAGGTCAACTCAGCAGTGGCTGCAAAAGAATATTCCAGAATTCATCACTGCCTCGGATTGTCCCTCAGGAAGCCCTGATCTCAACCCACGAGATTATCAGCTTTATTCCAAACTGGAGAGGATGGCATGCCTCAGAGCACACCCTAACTTGGAAAGCCTTAAACAATCTCTGGTCCGAGCAGTTGAGCGCTTTCCTTAAGAAGTGCTGCTTGCTGCTATTGATGACTGGCCGCGGAGATTGAATGCCTGTCTCAAGGCAAAGGGGGAGATTTTGATGAATTTCTTTTTTGTTTTACTCTCTATAGATATAAATTTTATTTTCTAATACAATTTTTGAAAAAATTAATTTTTCTGTTGAAATCCAAATATATTTCCTTGTAACAATATTTATGACAGGACTAGGTATACACACACACACACACACGCATATATATATATATATATATATATATATATATATATATATGTATATATATATATATATATATATTTTGTAACATCTCTCATATACTTTACAAATAATAATAATATATAACCTTGGAGAATCACTTTAATACTATTGGGATACTTCCTAAATAAATAAGAGGTTATTAAATAATAAACAAAATTATAAGAGTATTAATATATTTATTTATCTTAGGTGTGGGTTACTGACAGTCAGATCAAAACACTCAGACAAACTAAAATTAACTATACTAAACACTGTTTGATTTTAAAATAAAGTAAGATATGGATTGGCAAGCCAACCTTTTTTCTATATACAATGTTTTTTCCTTTGTGGCACTGAATTCATTTGTTTTAAAACACTTTCCATAGTTCTGCCAAACACAAATTCCAAATTGGTGATACTTTCTTCTACTCAACTCAAGCTCCCTGAGAGATCCTCTCTCTTGTAATTCCAAACAACTAGTGAGTCTGTCAAAAATCAACTTTCAAGATGGTAATACTATTACTGGGTTTTACCCACTGGAGCCAGGTTCCCTTCTCCTATCCTCTCTTCACTGCAGCCACAGAACAACTGCTTGCCGAAACAAAAACCTTTGTCCCTCTCCTCTTTGGGATTTTCCTTCTTGGGAAACTATAGAGCAGCCATTTTCTTCAGCCCTGCACTAGTAGAACTAGATTAGCTTGCCTTTTAATTGTTCCACATTAATTTATTAAACCCTTTTTACTCACTTCCAATAGAGGTGTACATTACAATATATAGCATTTCCAAGTCAATTTCAATCTTTTCCAAACAAATTCAACTTTTTCCAAGTCAAATTAAACCTTTTCCATTTCAAATTCAACCTTTTCCAAGTCAAATTCAACCTTTTCCATTTCAAATTCAACTTTCGAATTTTTGTCAATTTTCGATTTTTTTTCGAAATGAAGGCCACTTACTATATTATCGAAGGCATAGCTTTCGAAAAATACAAAAAAAAATTTGATAACACGGTTGCATATCCATTTATTTTAACATTTTAGATTTTTTCAGTGTAATATTTCTATGTCATATTCAATTATTTCCAAGTCAAATTCAACCTTTTCCACATCAAATTAAACTTTTTCCTAGTCAAATTCAACCATTTCCATTTCAAATTAAACCTTTTCCAATTCAAATTCAACCGTTTTCATTTCAAATTAATGTTTTAATTTTTTGTAAATAATATATTTTTTTAAAATAATGGCCATCCCCTCCACCCCTCCAATATGAAAGTCTATTATTATGCTCTCCTAAGTACAATTTTCACTTACGGATATCGATTTATTGTACATATTCGGATTTATTAGGGACTAGTATTATGCTGTCCTGTACCTAGATTTTAAAATAACCTCCATTTTAAGATTAGGCCACCACGTTTCGATTTCTTTAAGTGTTTCGAATTTTTATCATAAAAGAGTGCATTCTTATGTTTCCGGAGTCGTAGATTTTGAAAATGACCTCCATTTTAAGATTACACCACGTTTCGGCTTATTTAAGTTTTTCGAATTTATCCAATTAAAGGTCTACTTTTTTGATGCCTTAGTTTTTAAAACGCAGTGGCGTAATCTTAAAATGGAGGTCATTTTCAAAATATATGACTCTGGAAACATAAGAATACACTCTTTTATGATAAAAATTCGAAACACTTCAAGAAATCGAAACGCGGTGGCCTAATCTTAAAATGGAGGTCGTTTTCAAAATCTACGGCTCCGGAAACATAAGAATACAACCTCATATGAAAAAAATCCGAAAAACTAAAAGAAATCGAAATGCGGTGGCCTAATCATAAAATGGAGGTCATTTTCAAAATCTACGGCTCCGGAAACATAAAAATACACCCTTTTATAAAAAAAAATTAAAAACACTTAAAGAAATCGAAACGCGGTTGCCTAATCATAAAATGGAGGGCGTTTTCAAAATCTACGGTTCTGGAAACATAAAAGTAGACCTTTACATTGGATAAATTCATAAAACTTAAATAAGTCAAAACGCGGTGGCCTAATCTTAAAATGGAGGCCATTTTCAAAATATATGGCTCCGGAAACATAAGAATACACCCTCATATGAAAAAAATCCGAAAAACTCAAATTAGTCAAAACGCGGCGGCCTAATCTTAAAATGGAGGTCGTTCTCAAAATCTACGGCTTCGGAAACATAAAAGTAGACCTTTATATTGGATAAATTCTAAAAACTTAAATAAGTCAAAACACAGTGGCGTAAACATAAAATGGATGTCATTTTCAAAATTTACGGACCGGGAAACATAAAAATACACCCTTATATCGAATAAATCATAAAAACTTAAATAATTCGAAACACAGTCACGTATTCTTAAAATGGAGGTTATTTTCAAAAACTACTCATACGATAACAGACCCACACATCGAAAAATTAAAGATAATTAAATAAATGAAAAAAAGGTTGAATTTGAAATGGAAAAGGTTTAATTTGAAATGGAAAAGATTGAATTTGACTTGGAAAAAGTTTAATTTGATTTGGAAAAGGTTGAAATTGACTTGGAAATGCTATATGTGGAATTTTTGTCCTTTTTTTTAGTTTTTGTTCTTGTGATTTATTTTTAACATGTTATAATTAGTTTTCTTCTTTAGGTATTCTAAAATGAGTGATAATGAAGGAACAGATTCATCAGACATTGAAAGTGGAAGTGACAATGAGATGGAAGAAGCAATATCTGTGAACTGTCTTTTTTGTCCCACTGTCTCTTTTTCAGTTGGGGAATCTGCTGATCATTGTCTTTTTGATCATGGCTTTGACATTAGGTATTATCTTATAAAATCGTATGATGTATTAATATTTAATATTATTACTTATTACTTAATTTTTTATTTAATGATCTCTGTATATAAAAAAAAAGTTGATATTATTATGATCTTAATATTGAATTTTTTATCCTGATAATTTATATGTATACACTACATACTCTTGTTCTCCTTTTACTTTTTACGTCCATAACCATTCTGGAATACCAAAATAATAACTGGGTGTTCCGTAAGTAATGAAAATTTTTAAAAACAAGCGTGTTCCAGTGATCCGGAAATTCCTTGAAAATCGGCTTTTGTTTGGGAAAAACTGAGAGATTGGAAAATTCTGAATAATTCCTTTAAAAAATTGTTTATATTCTACAATCATTAGGATATTTTTTTGCTTATAGTTTGGTGAAATCATGGACACTAAAAAATTCAAAAGTTTAAAGCTAGGATTCGTGATCAATGTGTTGTTTAAGAATACTGTATACTTATATAATATACTTAAGAATACTGTACTCACATTGGCCAATGTAGAGTTTTTGTATATGCCATTGATGAAAACGAAAGTTTTCCTAATACTTTATGGAAACTCATTCCTTATCCAAGAATGAACATATAGTTATTTTTGATGTTTTCTCAAGGTACCTCGTATTAAACATATAACGTTGTGTAAATATATTAATATGGTATTATTATTTTAGTAAACAACATGTGACAATTATTAAACAAATCTCTAAAACAAGAACTTGATGATATGATAGACAAAAAGCATTTACATTCTTTTGAATTTTTTTTTTGCCAATGTGACTGTGGCTCATTCTTTCTTTCTTTTTAAATTTTATTTTTTAAAAATAATTTTGAAATATTATATTTTCTACATAAGCTGTTATTTAAAAAAGGATATTACTTTTATTGTTTTCTTGGAACCACAAAAAGATCTTGGATAAGAAATTTGAACATGTTCAATATATACTGTAATATCTCTCTTGTATTATCTAATATCTTGATATAAGAAGAAAATATATCCGTATTATGAGAATATAATAGGCGTCCACCAAACTGGATTCAGAAAAGGTAGGAGCATGCTTGACCAGATCTTCATCCTAATACAAGTACTTGATAAACAATGGGAAGTAGCTCAAGACATCCACGCCCTATTAGTCTATTTCAAAGTAGCCTATGATTCTGTGGACAGGAGCTGTCTTTGAAAAATCATGACTGAACTGGGAATTCCCAATAAGTTGTTTAGATTGACAAAGGCGTGTACAAATGAACCCAAATGTAAAGATCTAATATAAGGAGAAGTATCTGAAGCCTTTAAAGTTCTAACGGGGTTATGGCACAAAGATGGACTATCACAGAATGAATCATAAAATCCTTGGATACGCAGATGATATAGCTGTCCTGGAAGTAATTAACAGGACATGAGAAACTCCCTCAAATTCTAATAAGAGAGGCTGAGCAGATTGGCCTACATGTAAATGAAGACATAATAAAATATATTATAAGCCGAAAATACCACCCCAATAACACAATCTCCGTAGAAGAAAAATCATTCCCGAGAGTCGAACATTTCAAATACCTCGGCTCCACAATAACTTCAATGAATGACCAACGGACAGAAATAGACCAGCATATAACTAACACAAACAGAGCTTTCTTCTCTCTTTCAAAGGTATTGAAATCCCGAAAAATTCAAATTAAGGGTGTCCAATGCTATGATAAAGCCAGTTCTAATATATGACTGAGACCATGGTCTGTAATACCAACAGAAAAAAAAACTTTTCTAATACTTTTTTTTGTCTACTTTCTCTAAGAGATGTAATCTCTCTCTCTCTGTCTACTACTGAATTTATTATCTCTGTTTAACTTTCAAAGTCTCTCTAACCAGATCTGTTTACCCTTTTTAAAGAATGGGCTGGAGTTTAGATAGGATGAACCGGATAAAGGGTATAGGGTAAGACTGCCAAGAATAATAGGGGGACCATCCCTATAACATCCAGCGCTCAGCAAGCTGAGGAGACCATCCATAGACCTGGCAAGAATCAATAACTTTACACTTTTCCCGACCAAGGACAAACATGTAAATGCTTATGTACGCAACAAGGGACCACCAAGTTAAACATACGAAAGGAGAAAAAGGATAAGATAGGAGAGAGTAGAGGGCCAAGTATGGAGTGACAGATTAGTACACAGCCAGGAGGAGGGTGAATAGATAAGATAAAAGAATAATACAATGGCCTTGTACCAAACTGTTAGATAAAGATTTTAGGAGCCTTTTTGGGGGAAGAAGCTGTAAGTGACCCTAGGGACCAGGCCCTTATATAGACTAATAACCAGTCCTTAGACCTGTTACAGGTTAGTGAGAGGCAACACTAGTAACAATTGTTTTAATTAGGACCTGAAATCTTTTAGTCTAAAATCTTTTTTTATTTTAATTTAATTACAGTCCATAAGTACTTATATTAAAAATAGCATAAACATTAGTTGTTCACAAAAAGAATAATTATAACAAAAAATAATGAATAAGTTTTAAGTTGAATACATAGCTCACTGGGAAACTAACAAATTGCGCTACAAAAAACCCTAATCACCAGTAGAACAAATGAATGACTTGCGCAATGAATGTGAATCAGTTCTTAAGAAGAAAGGCGAGAGGGCGCCACGTGTGCTCTGCCAGCCACTAACCTTAAGTTATTTTACAATTCTGCATTTGACAGTCCATCAGCTCAGATAGATCATCCCTTTACTCTTCATAGTTAATTAGATGGTAGTATTGTTTTAACAATTTTTAAATTATAACTACAAAGAATAAGATCTATTATAATACATTACATTAAATTGAATTTGTAAATATTTTAGGTACATAAATATTAATTTTCACCAAGTTGGATCAATAAAATATGAAAATTAAGTTTTTAAATTACAATTAGAAATTTAATAATATATATTGTAACCTGGAAACTTTTAAAACCCAATCCTACAATTCCTACCTCTCCTCATTATCCGCTAGTGATAAATCCCTCTGGAACGTAACCAAAAAAATCCTTAAATTCCAGTCCATTTCCCATCCACTTCGCCGTGATGATGGTTCCTGGGCTTCATCAGATGCGAATAGAGCAGAGGAGTTTGCTAAACATTTATCCTACACATTCACCCCTCACCCCGAACTCCATCCCAGCCACACTGCTGAAGTTGAAGAATTCCTCTCTTCACCAATTCCTCTCTCTCTACCTCCAAAACCTGTTAACCCCTCTGAGGTCAAATTCCTTATAAACAAATTAAAACCCCGAAAATCCCCTGGATATGATCTCCTCACTTCACAAATCCTCAGACAACTTCCCAAAAAAGCAATCATATTCCTTACCTATCTATACAACTGCATCCTTCGCACAACCAACTTTCCTTTGGTGTGGAAACATTCCATAATCATCCTGTTTCCAAAACCAGGTAAACCTGTTAATAACACATCATCCTATAGACCGATAAGCTTACTCCCGATCCTCTCAAAAATCTTTGAGAAAATCCTTCTCAAACGCATCCTACCCATAATCGAATCCCACAACATCCCTTCTCATCAGTTTGGATTCCGCTCAAGACATTCCACTGTCCAACAAGGCCTTCGTGTTGTGGACCATATATCCTCTGCACTTGAAAACAAGCACTATTGCACTGGTGCCTTTCTGGACGTAGCACAAGCTTTCGACCGGGTGTGGCACGATGGCTTGCTTTTCAAGCTCAAAACCCATTTACCCCAATCCTTATACCTAGTCCTCAAATCCTACCTCTCAAATCGTTCCTTTCAAGTCCGTTGTGACACCGCATTCTCCACTTACTATCCAGTTGAGGCTGGTGTTCCACAAGGCAGTGTCTTGGGCCCAGTTCTCTATATCCTCTTCACTTCCGATATCCCTTCCAATCCCGATACATTTCTAGCTACATTTGCTGATGATACTGCCATTCTATCTTCCCACTCAGATCCTCAAATAGCATCTCTAAACCTACAATCTCACCTCTCTTTGATTGAGCAGTGGTGCAACAACTGGCGCATCAAAATCAATGAATCAAAATGCAAACATATCACTTTTACCCTGCGACGCAGATCCTGTCCGTCAATCCTTTTTAATTCAATTCCACTTCCCTACTCAGACACAGTCCGTTACCTTGGCTTCCTTCTTGACAAAAGACTAACTTGGAACCCACATACCAGACTTAAAAGACAAGAACTTAACCGACGATATGGCCAGCTGTATAGATTACTAAGTAGGACATCCCATCTTTCGATTGAAAATAAACTTTTAATCTACAAGACCATACTGAAACCTATCTGGACCTACGGACTTGAACTGTGGGGAACTGCTAAACATTCGAATATCAAACGCATCCAATCCTTCCAGTCCAAAGTACTTAGAACAATAGTCAATGCCCCATATTATGTCACAAACAAGACCCTACACCATGACCTTAACATCCCATTTGTCCTCGACATCATCCCAACCAGATTCTCAAACTTTCACCAAAACCTTATCCATCATCCAAATCCTCTAGCTCAATCCCTATCCAGCTCCCTTCATCCCTACAATCCTCCACGAAGGTTAAAACGGCAGTGGCCCAGAGATCTCTTGTAAATATGCTTCTGGAGTCCTGGCAATGGCCAGCTTCTCCACTCATGTCCCGAGCGTCTGTGGCTCTAGTGCCCTCTTTCAGTCTCCATTGGCTTCTAATACCAGTGATGCGGCTGGAAAAGTGGCACTGGAATCTCCTGGAGTCTTGCTTTGCCTTCCACATGTGGGGGAAAAAGCCTGGCTCGGAGATTCTTGGGCGAATGTATATATTGTATATAGGTATGATTGTGTTTATAAGTTTCTTTTTATGTTATTGTTTTTTTTTTTCTTTTATTTTCTTTCTTCATCAGTATTATTTATTTACTTTTTATATTTATATTTATTTCTCTATTATTTGTATATATTGTTTGAATGAGAACTCTTAGCCCTAATACTTATAGCCCTCCAGTGGCTGATTGTATTATTATTCAATAAATAGATAAAAAAAAAAAAAAAAAAAAATATATTGTAACAAATTAGATTATATATATATATATATATATATATATATATCTTACATACTTTACAAAGTTAAAAAATAATAAAAGAACAAAACATGAAAATTAAATTCCTTAATAATTAATTTTATAAAGGCTCTTATTAAATATATTACAATACTGTGGAACCTCGGTATATTGAACTTCCACATATCCAATATATCTATAACCTTTTTTTAAGAACCTTTTATATTAATTTTTGTTTTTGGCTCATTTTTTATTTTGAATCTTTGCAGAATAGCGAATATCCAATGAAAACAATTTTAAACTAAATATTTTTTCTTTAGAGATGACAGGGTGAAAGAAAAAACGGAAAGATATGTCCTGGATGGAAGTTTTGAAGCTGGGAACACAATTTTAAGCTAAAAAGTATAAGATATCCAATGGTATAAGGTAGGCACTGGCAGCCTCTAATGTAGCCATTTCTCCACTCTTGTGATGTAGTTCCGCCCTCCACCACTTTTCTCTAATGCCAATCATCTTTGCAAATGAACTTTAGTAAAATCCAGTACTTTTTGCATAGGTTATTACTTACCTTATTAATTTTCTTTTACGATTAAAAATTAAAAAAATCATGAAAATACTCAATTATGGGAGTTGAAATTTCATTTTTTGAAATAAAATATTAGGTGATGTTTTCTATTATATCTTATTATTTTTAGGAATTTCATTAGGAAAAGAGTTTCATCTCATTATGATTTTATCAAGCTTATTAACTACTTGAGACAGAAAAAACCCACAACTAAAGAGTTAGAGGCAGCAGATGATATTAAACCTTGGATCTCAGATGATTACCTTCTTCCTGTCTTTCCGGATGATCCTTGGTTATGGACTGATAATGGCCTTGTTGTTGATGACGATGAAGACATGGAACCTAAATATGTAAATGCTGAGAATGGTGTGGTTACTCTTTCCAAAGAACATTTTGATGAATTACAGGTAACTATCATTACATTGAACAGAAATTTTAAGGAAATTTCTGTTGTTAATATTGTTTTAACCAATTTTCTTGGCATTTAACCCCTGAAGTAATAACATAAATTTTCATTAGGTTCCTATATTACTTCTATCCACTTTTTCTGGACAGTATTTCTGATGATTGAGCCTTTATATTAAATTTTCCTTAATGAATATAACAGTTGTAAAACTTTTAGGTACAAAATGCTGCCGGCCAGAGTTGGTCCTTAATAGCCCTGGAGCCAGGGACCAAAAATTGACCTGATCGTATTCAAAGGTTAGATTGTAAATTACGAAAGTGTGTTATTCTGAGTAAAAAGAACCTTGTCTGCCGTTCCAGAGCCGCTGCTTTTAAAAATGGCTGCTGATTTAAAGAATATTGAGCCAATAATTTGAGGATCGAAACGGGAAATCCATTGTGAAAAATGTGAGAAAAGTTTTTATATTTTAACTTTTATATATGGGTTTACACATGTTAAAAATAAAATTGCTAACACAGGCCACCTAGCGAAAACTTTTTACATCCAAAAAAGACAGATATTTTCGATATTTTTTTGTTTTTTCGCCTATAATTCTTAAATGATACATCAAAGCGAAAAATGTATTCTTTAATATATTAAAGAAAGTTAAATTTTGCGTCAAACGAGTACATAAACTTTATAATTTAGTTACGCGGTAAGATATAAATCCACGGTCAACCAACGCTGATTTTTACCAAATTTGTCAAAAATTGAGAAAAATGACTATAAATGGCCCTATAACTTGGAAATTAATTCCTTTAGAGGAATAACCCATAAAATCAGAGTTGTAGAGCATCAAATTTTGCGTCAACTGAGCACCAACTAATTTAATGTAGGTCAATTACTGCAAACAAAATCGGTAATCTCCCAATAGTTAGAAATTGGTAATGAAGGTAAACGTGATTTTCAATATTTCAACAGTACTGGTGTCTATTCTACTGATTTATTTTTGTTTAGAGTCTGTTACATGCAGTAGAAGCCTCTTTCCCACCCCCTCAACAGCTAAGGATTTTGGTAAATGATGTGTCGAAAGATACCAAATTTTATAAAGGAATAACTAATTCCGATTCGAGATATATAATTGGTCTACAATACAAATTTCAGTACTTGACGCAAAATTTGATGCTCTACAACTTTGATTCTATGGGGTTTTCCTCTTAAAGAACTTATTTCCAAGTTACCGTGCCATTTATGGTAATTTGTCTTAAGTTTTTGACAAATTTGGTAAAAATCAGCGTTGTAAAACCATGGTTTTATACTTTACCACGTAACCAAATTATAAAGTTTATGTACTCGTTTGACGCAAAATTTAATGTTCTTTAATTTATCAAAGAAAACATTTTTCGCTTTGATGGATCGTTTAGGAGTTATGGTAAAAAGAAATAGATCGAAAATATCTGTCTTTTTTGGCTGTAAAAAGTTTTCCCTTGGTGGCCCGCATTAGCAATTGCTGCATTTTTTACATGTCTAAACCCATATATACAAGTTAACAAAATTAAATCTTCTCCCACATTTTTCGCAATGGATTTCCTGTTTCGATCCTCAAATTACTAATTTAATATTCTTTAAATCAGCCACCATTTTTGAAAGCAGTGGTTCTGGAACGGCAGACAAGGTTCTTTTTACTCAGAGTTACATACACTTTTGTAATTTACAATCAAACCTTGCGATCAGGTCGATTTTCGGGCCCCGGCTCCAGGGCTATAAAGCATTGATAATAGAGATACCTTTGAGAAACATTAGATTTCCTTCTGGCAGACTTAGTGATTGCTTATGCACTAATTATATGTTTTTCTGTGAGACACAATTTTCTTGAGACATAGAAAACCAAAAGTTACTCTTCAGAATGTTCAAAAATTTTCCTACAGTTTATTTTTCAAAAAAACTAAACTCTTTGCCAGTTTTTTTTGTCTATATAATTTCCATATTATTTTATTGAGTAAAGAAGGAAACACAAATTTATTGTTTTAATTGTTTATTTTGACAATTTTTGAAAACGTATTCTAGTTCTTTAATATCTCTTTCATTTAAAATAAATTAAACACATAATGGTTTAATTTATAGCCTAAAATTTGATTATAATTTTAAATTGATACTTATCTATTTATTTTGGTTATAGGAGAAAAACCAGAAACTCGAACACTTGTTAAGGGAGCAGGAGAAAAAAATGGATGCTCTTAGAAACTTGCTCCAGGAAGAACCTGAGATTAAGCATAGAAAAATTGTGCATCATGTCGATTCTTATTTTGAATCTTATTCAGGTTTTGATATTCATCGAGAAATGTTAGGTGATATTGCCCGTATGGAAGCATATCAACGTGCTATTAATTCAAATTTCTTTAAAGAAAAAGTTGTTCTCGATGTTGGATGTGGTACTGGCATATTATCTATGATGGCTGCCAAAGCAGGAGCTTCAAAAGTTAGAACTTATTTAATTTTTTTATTACTAGAAAAATTATGATTGAACTTGAATTATGTAAAATATAATTAATAATTTTTATAATCTTAATGAAGTTTAACCCAGTTGGGAAAATTTTATTTATAAACATATAAATTATAATAATAAATGAAATTTTATTTTTATTTCAATCACTAAAAATAACGAGCTATTTATTGGTTATTGATTGTAAAATAGACTGAACAATCTTAATTTATTCATTATCCAAAACTGCACAATTGCGTATTGTGTTTTTGTTAGTTGAACTATTCTATATAAATCCACATTAGTAATCTCCGATGATTTCTTTGATATATTTCGTGACTCGACTAGTAAGAAGTAATGTGATTATTTTATAGCAAATCAGAAGAAATGATATTCTTCGATAGTTATCACAAACTATCCTCGTTCGCTTTTTGTGAATTGGAATAAGAATAGATTCTTTCCATTCCGCTGGCCATTTCTCATTCTCCTAGATATTTTTAACTGATAGAAGTATTATAGAAACTCTAGTTCCCCCACCATTCTTTAATTAGTTCACTAGGAATATTTTTGGATCCCACTATTATATAAGATTTTAATTTTCCAATGGCTATTTTAACTTCCATTGATGATTGAGCACTCTGGTACTCAGGAGGAGAAAGATCATTATTTCCATGTTTATAATATTTTCAAAATGTTTCATAAACATACGTTATATGTCTACTGGATCGGTCAGCATATGTTTATGTTCATCCATTCTAGTCGTTATGAGTCCCAAACATTTATACCTTTTTATGTGTCTCATTCATAATTTTCAATTCTATTAGTTTCTGTGTATATTTTATTTTTAATGTTCTCTCCTTTTTTATTTTTTGAGCAATTAATTCATTTCATTCTTTAAGACTTGGAAGTGGGCGAGATCATTAAAAGTTTTTAATTTAGTAGTTTTTCTTTTTTCCTTCATGTTTAAACAATCTTCATTAATTCATCTTGCATGTTTATCAATGAAATTTTAAACTAATGCCCCTGGAATTTGCCCACAAAAATCCAACACTAAAGAATTGTATGTCCCTCAAAGTGGCAAGCTTTCTATTCCTAATAAGAAACCTAGTACCTAAACAATTATTTCAGCTTCCTCCGTACAAAATATTGAAAGACATTTCTTTATCGTGCCCTCCCCATGCCAGCAAACTTCTATACACCTCTCGGAAATGGGTCTAATATTTTTTGACCTAGTATCACAAAAAAGGTTTTATTGAAATCAATGACACATCTGTAACCTCCTCGTGTAAGTTAATTTTAGTATAGAAGTTGTAGTTTTTACCCTATTTTTCAATTTTTATTGTAAATTAAACATTAGACAATTTTTTTTCATAAATAAATGTGGTTTCACTAGTGTTGACTTATTTGAAAAAATCATAACTTACTATAAAGCACTATAAATTGATCAAACACAAATTTCGAGGTAATGAGTTAATTATGTCCAGCAGTTAATGTATTTTTTTTTTAACTTTGTTTTTTAGGTAGTTGGTGTAGATAACTCTGATATATTTAATACAGCAGTTGAGATAGTCAGAGATAATGGATTTGAATCCAAGATTACTCTTATAAAAGGTGCCATTGAGAACATCATACTTGAAGATAAATTTGATATTATTATTTCTGAGTGGATGGGTTACTTCCTACTTTTTGAGAGGATGCTTGAATCAATTATTATAGCCAGAGATAGGTAAGCATTTTTTACTATCTGCTTTGTTCTTTTGTTTTAAACCAATAAATGATTCATCTTTAACGAATTGGTGGAATTTGAGAACACTCATACTGAAATGTGTTATTACCATAATCAATTCACGCAAATCTCAGTTATTAATTTCTGATATTTATGATCTAATCTCTCTAATTTTGATGGTATTTTTAAAAATGGAAATACCATGCATTGTCAAATTTTTCCATTTTTTAAAATTCATGATTTTCTTATAGAGAAGATTAACAAACTCAATGATATTTTCTAAAATTTTAAATTAATTCTTTATGTTGCAAATCTTAAATTTACTGAAAAATTTTTAATTGTGAAATGTAGATAAATGATGTCTACCAGTTGCTTAAATTTTGTTTATTAAAACCCCCAATTTTTTCAAGAGTTGCTCAGAAAATTGCTGATCTGGAAAATTTTCACAACGATGGGACTATAAAGTCTTATAAATCCATTCAAATTGGAAACCTCCACTACCTTTCTGCTTTACTAGTGTTTACAGTTGTCAAATTATAATATATTAATTTTAATACATTTTATTTGATATTTAAAGTCTAAGAAAGATTAATAATTCAAATGAAAACTTTATTGATCATCCAAGTAATGTAAATTTTGGGCCAGGAAGAAAATTAAAGAAAGCCATCATAAATATTACACATTATTTTATTAAATAGAATATGATTACTTAAATAATTACCATCATCAATGAAAGGTGCAAATAAAAATATTATGTAAGTATAATATAAAAGTGCTAGATTGGATTAGTTATAAAATTAAACAATAGTAGAACACAACAAATAGTGTAACTAGATATATTATGCTTTTATTTTTAGCTTTTCACATTAATTCCACCATGAACCATATGGAAATAAACAAGCTAAAACTAATTGAGTGTCTGCTTTTGTCGTATTTTCTCTAATATAATCTGTGTATTATGACAAGCATTTTTTGCTTTGGATAGGTATTGTGTTAAGTTAGCAGACAAATAATAAATTACTCATTTGTTGCTTTTAATGCAGGTAAAATAAAATCTTAAGTCTGTCAGCGTTATGATTATCTCTTAATGGGTAAACATTTTTTAATTACTTCTCTTTTTGTTTTGGGGGGTTTTATTATCAAAGATACCACATATTGCAATGGGTTTCTTCGAGATCTGGAATACTTAAAAAAGCCAAAGAAATTTACTAGCTAAGCTAAGAAATTTACTAGTTTTTAATTTACCAAAGAAATTTACTAGTTTCCAAGCTTGTGATTTATGGGCACCATCAGTTATCGTTCCTGTATTGGAATAGGGTAACTGACTCCTGCCGTAATTTTAAGGGCATTACTCTTCTTCCTTACGTTTTTAAAATTAGGTGAGAGTTTAAGAGATTACTACCATATATTGAAAGGAAAGTGGGTCAGAACCAAAGTAGCTTGAAGAGAGGAGAGTCCATAATAGACCAAATATTCGCTCTCTGAACGATCCTTCAAAAAGGAAAGAAATATAACATGAAGACGCATCATCTTCCATAAACATTGATACAGCATAAGATAGCATAAATCACCCTGCATTATTCAAAGCTTTTATAGATCTTGCCATTCCAGATAATCTTATATACCTGATTATGCATCCCATGAGGAATTTCCGATGTCTGAAACAAATCAATGGACAAGGTATGCTAAATTCAGATCAAAGGCTTTAGTATCTTAATATAATATAATATTACTGACAGCTTTGTGTATACAGACAAAAAAAGCTTGACAAAAGACAAATAGAACAATATTTAATAGAATATTGCAGCTTCCAGTATATGCGGATGATATTGATGTAGTTGGCCTCTCGCTTGATGCTGTTATTGAAGTGATTATGGTACTTGTTAATGCAACAAGATAACTAGGACTCCATATTAATGAATTGAAAATGAAATATATGTTTTCTGAAGAAATGGGCTCCTTTAAATTAAAAAATGTAACATATTTATGTATTTTACTCTATGGGCAACAAAGCAATGCTGCTGACTTAAAGGAAGCAAAGGAGACAAATTTTGGTCCCAACAGATATTATCTTGGCTTTAAGAGTTACTTTACATGCAATATGCTAACAAGAAACAACAAATTTTATCTTTATAAAACAATTATCCGGGCAATGCTATCATATGGACCAGAAACACTCAAAGATCAGTAAACAAGAAGTGAAGTATTTGAAGGAAGATTTTTCCATTGAATGATTAGAGTAGTTAGAACTGACCAAGGTTGGCTAGACAATCAGATCAAGACCATTTTTAAGAAATAGATGGTCTTCTGGTCATGAAGATTGGATGACTTAGGTATTAAAAAATATTTCCATGATGAACATTACATAGGTACCTAAGCAGCTGTTGACAGAGCTCCTTTTCTTTATAATTAAAAAAATTATATTCTGTAACAATTTATTTAGAAGCTGTTTCTATGCCAATAAATAAAAGTAAGTTGAATATTGACCACCTAAAATGGTTGACCACCCACCAGAAAAAGCCAAACAGTCAATAATCTTCACCTCCCCTCATTACCTTATTGGTGGCAACTCACACTGACCAGGCCTAGGAATAATTACCCTTCCCTATGTATTTTAATTGGGAATCATTGTGGTTTTCCAAGGTGCCAGTAGCCTCTCGAAAAGTTGAGTCCATGGACTATCTGTTTCAGGGAAATGGATCTAGAGCAATTAATCATTGATCTTGAACCTGGTGGGAAGGACACTGCCAAATTGATCCCATAAGATTGGTTATAGAGCTATAATCAGCCTGCTGCTGCAGCATGCAGCCATTGTCCATAGCAACGTGAGGTAGGATAACTCCCTCCAAGCTATCTGTGTATCTCCTGCAAGCAATATACGTCTCTAAGAAGATCACTTAGTCACATAGCCTAAAGGGCCAAAAAAAAAAATCTCACACTCAAATTTAATTAGAGTTCAAATTGATAAAGCAATACTTCATTATTATTATTATTATTAATGCCTTATAATTAAATGATTGTTTTAGATTTCTGAAGAAAGATGGCTTGCTGCTACCTAGTTCATGCTCTTTATGGCTAGCAGGTTGTTCTGATTCTGTGGTGTACAGTGAGCGCACTAATTCCTACTTCATGGGGTTTAAAATGGAGCCTTTAAGACGTGCTAGATTTTCAGAGCCTGCCATTGAAATAGTCCCAGAAGATAAAATTGTTACTAAGCCAGTTGTTGTTCACAGGATAGCATTGTCAGATCGTGAAACAGTTAATACTGCAAACTGTTGTTCTTTCTGTTCAGATTTTAGTTGCGAGGTTTGTACAATTTTGTTATTTAAAATAAACCTATTGAAAGTATTATTCCCTATAACTCCTGAAATTCAACATCTCAGAGCATTTTATTGTCAGATATATTGTACACAATTTCATAATATTCATTTATTTTGGCCATGGAAACTAGAGTAAATAACAGTCTGTTAATTTAGCAGTTTTTTTTATATTTCTAAAATATGTTAAGTTTGTTATAAAAATATTTAAAAATGGATTCTCTCTCTCTGTTGAAAATTAAACCATCTACGTTGGAGAAGTAATCTTGCTAAAGTTCTTCAATTTGTAATTTCTCAGTAATGAACTTATTATTTCTCATTCTTATGGTCAATTTATAATAAGGTTGTTTTATAATTTAATGTTTAATATAATTCTTATGGGCAATATCAAGGTTATAAAATTACTATTTAGTCTTAATAACTGACAGAACTGGAAATATGCTGTTGAGGCCATATTCTTTTAATTTTTTCTTGTTCTTGGGAAATTTTATGAAGGCTATTGTCCTCCATTACCGTTTGTTATCTAGAAAGTTGTAATTTGAAACACGAGGCTCCAGATGTTTCCTTCATTGCCATCATCTTCCTTCTCAGCTGCAATCTAATTTTTTAAAATGTTAATCAATATTTTAAGGCTCAATTTTATAATTAAAGTATGTTTTATAAGGGAAATAGTCATTGTGTTTTGTTGATAGCTGAAAGGAAAAGGTCCACTGAAGGATATATTTCAAGGAGGACCTTTTTTTTTATTCAGTTGTTAATTCTTCATTCTGAAGTATTAGCCCTTTTATGATCTCACTATTTGACTATTTTATATATTTCGATACACTTTTAACTATAGATGGAATGTGACAACAAACATATACTATATATATTCTATATTACATTGTATTAATTTTTCTATACTGGAAAGATGAACTGTTTGTTGTTTATAAATTTTGCTTCTGATTCTTCACCTACTAGTATTATCGAAATCATAGCTTCAACTCCGATAACCTTTTTTTCTTCCACTTATACTATAAACTATTAAGTGCCATCCTAAAATCTCATTTTGATATAATAATTAATCCCATATTAATGATAAGGGATCTTACGATATTCCAGTAATAATACAATCTTGACTCCTATTCTTTACACCTGCAACCTTTTATATTTTCATCCTTTTTTTCCAGAACTCTATTTTGTTTTAGAAAACCATATTAGTCCGACCATTTAATTAAAATTTCAAATAACTTCTGCTATTTGTTATCTGTTCTTCTGTATTAATCTTTCAAAACTGATGTTGTAAGGCCTTGCCCAAAATCAACTTTTAAACTTCTTCGAAGAACATATGCACTGTAAATCTCTCCATTCTGTCTTTTGTCTTGGTTGCTCAGATTAATCTGTTTTCTTAGTTCCAATTTAATCCATGACATCGAAACTACCATGAAGCACAATTGACTAACTATTGTTAGTTATATGAATCTTTCTAGATTTCTCTTCTTTAGTAATCTGAAATCAATCTTTTTCCAAGATACTGTCTCTTGTGGTCTTCAATCCGTCACTGTATTTGGTATTTCATTAATGACATTCCTCTTCTCATTCATCATGCCCTATACCTAACATATGCTGATAATTTACATAGATCCTTATTATTTCCTCCTCATGACCTCTTAGGAGCCACAAAAAAAAAAAAAAAAAACTTAAAGGGACTTGAATCCCGTTACTCAGTGGGCAGTAGATCAGCCAAAGTTTGATGCAATAAAGGCAAAAGCAATCGTAATAGGTTTCCATTAACTGTTTTTACTTACTTCTATATCTCATTATTTCAATTGTAAATTTTCTTGATTCATATATATCCATAATTTTCATAACATCTAAAATTTGTCATGTATTTCTATGTTAAATCGTTTCATACTCTTTTGTGTATTTCTTTCAATATCTAAATTTATTCTTTATTGCTTTCATATGTTTATGATTATATATTCAGAGTGTTTACAAACAGGGAATTTCATTTTTTGGAAGTCAGAGAATAGCCAAGGATTTTTATCAAACTCGGGGAATTCTCTGAATATTTATAACTAACAAAATGAAAAAAAGTAGGCATCCAATCAATTAGGCAATGTAGGTATCCGAACAATTTTTTACTTCCTCATTATCTAAGGTTGGGAAGCTTTGTATTCATGTAAAATAATACAAAAAAATTGTCCTCAACATTAAAAATTTTCGCTTGCAATTTGTTTTTAAACTACAATGAACAAATTTGAAGGCTGACTGGACGTTAGTCAGGAACATCAGAATGTGGGAGCTCTAAGGCAGTCCCTATGAGCAAAATGGTTTGAAGATTGAGCCCTAAATTACCAGTGCATGTGGTTTGGAAAATGCTCCAACAACTCTTCTAAAATTGGCTGTCACAACAGGATAATAAAGCATGGGTTGGTAAAGCTCCTTAAAGAGAGACTTCACCTGTTGATGGAAGTCTACTGTGTGAATTCATGCAATGAGCTGACATTGTAGCTTTACCTAATATAACAAAGTCCGTAATTATTCTGGAACCTAACTTAAGGCTATATACAATACAAACACGCACACACACACATACACATGTTCAATTTCAATCTAATTTTATATGCTCGTGCGATGCTACTTGAAATTTCTATTTATTGATTATTATTGCATGTTTTTAATATTGTAACTTAAATTTCACCATCTTAATTATTAGACAAGTTTAAATTAATACTTCTTAATAAACTTACAAATGAAGTGACTTAATGATGTTTGTAGATGTCAATAGAGGGGATGTTTTATCTAAAAAAAAAAAAAAAGAAGATAATTGAGTACACATAAAGGTGGACTAGCTAGAAAAGAGTTCTTTGGAATTAAATTGAACCAAAGAGTGTTAAAGAGAGGGGTTGTTATGGTATATAGAAATTGTAATAATAGAATGCCATACAAATTAATAGCTTACTTCAAGCTGATGAGCAGTATAATGCAAAGGATAGGATATATCAGACATTATCAAAATCCCAAATCATATTGCCTAAAGTGAAAAGAAGAAATTTTTTAATCAGCTTTTACCTTTTGTATTAATGGACAACAGTAAAGTAAAAAGCCAAGAACACCAACTTTATCCCCAGCAGTTCAACCATTACTAAGGCGGTTAAAAAAAAAATGTACTAGATGAAAGTGAAATGATAGCAACAGACAGCTTAATGAGGGTTAATAAGAGAGAGTGTTGATAGCGCATGCATGTTTAAGCTTAAGCAATTTAAATGTGAATTATTACAGAAAAATGGCATGAACGGCAAGTATTTAAAAAATAAATCTTGTTTATACTCATTATAACCACTTCAAACTTATGGCTTTATGCTTGCAATCGATATGTTAAACATATCTTGAATTCATGGATGGATGTCAAAAGTTATTGCAATGAATGATTGGACTAAAAACAAAGTGGTGCAGATTTGTGAATCACTAATGAAGCAACAATTTCTTAATTAATATCAGACCTGTTTCTCCTTATAAACAAAATTTTATGCAAGATAAAGTTATAGAAATAGAGGTAGCCATATAAATTTTTAAATAATATCTGCTATAGAAAATACAAAGTCAATGTTATGAATTAGCTTCCTTCGTTATATGTGGGATTGTTTTAGTATGAATTCTGAAAGTAGATTATTCTCTTCCACATTCATTTCTGGTTTATATACAAAAGGGATTCCCTACTTCAAGAAGACATTGGTTGTATAATCATATGTAGAATCATTATCCTGATATGGTCCAGAAATGCAAGCTTAAAAAAATATCTTGAACCAGACATAATACATACCTGAGACAACCAGGAAAAAAAAACATGATGGCTTGAATTTATATCTGAAGCTGCCCTGTTCACCAAGCTCTTTATTATTCATTCAAAGTCACCAGCAACCATTACATGTCTTCAAGATAGACAATGCTTAATAAATTTCCAATATTGAAGGAACCTATATTAAACTTATAGAACATGCATGCCCTCCTTTTGCTCATTTCCTCCACAAAAATAGTTAGATATTATAAGAATATTAAAGGGAACCTAGTTTGGCGTAGGCCTTTTGGTCTATCAGTTTTCTTTTTAAGAACTTTGAGAAATAGGTAGCAGTACACTTTACACAAGGAAGGTGTTACACTTCACCTTTTTTAATCAAGCCAGCATATTCATCTTTAGGGAAGATTCTCAGAAACTGCTTTGCATTACTTGGTAGAAGAAATTGAGAGGGCCTTATAGTATAGGGATTCATCATAAGGGACCTTTAATTTCGAAGGAGCATTTGATTAAAATAGGCTGTTTGTCAAGCCTTATCAGACATATCTGTCCTCAAATGTTAGTAAAGTGGGTCAGATTCGTTCTATCAAATGGAATCATTGTTGTTTCAGAGGAAGGCATCAGACTGTAGGCACAAGTATTTAAAGGTTGCCTCCTAGGGAGCTGCCTCTTGCCGCTGTTCTGGTGCCTAGTTATGTTCAGCTTCCTTAAAAGACTAAAGGATGTTGGTGTTTATGCTCAAGCATATGTGGATGATGGATCAATCCACATTGTAGGTAAGTTGATAGATACTATTTTTGAATGCATGTGTAGCTTGTGATATTGTTCAGGCTTGCACACTGGAATGTGCTTATATTTTTACCAAGAGGCAAAAGCGGAATATCTTTTATATTTCAACTTGAATCAACTCCAAGTTAGTCAGTGTTCAATGCATAGGAATAATTTTGAACACCACCCTAAGCTGGGAGCCTCAAATGATAAAAACTAGACATTAGGCAGCAGCAGCCAGCTAGATTATTGAAAACTAAGCTGGGTTCCTAGAAAGCTTGCTGGCTTGTCCAAAGAGCTGTAGGGATGAACTGCGGTTTTAACCAACAAGTATTGTGGACACGGTATATAAACAATTGAAATAAAAATTTAAATGCATCCATAAGATGGTGGACAGCTCTAAGTGGGACTTAGCATTTGTTGAAGCTATGCAATGCAAGGTAGAGAAAATGACCAGCCTAAGTGTTTCAAAAGCATTCTACATGACACCAACTTATATCTCTTCACATTTGGCTAAAAGGAAAAGTTGTTCCTACATATTAATAATTAACAATAGACAGAGCTATGAGAAAACTTTGTTCAAGTTCTTTGTGGTCAGTTATACCCACCTTTCATTCTGTAAAATAGTGGTAATCTAGATATGATCCGATAGTATTATATTTATACACTTACTAAATAAATCAGTATGATAGGCTTTACAAAATAGAAAGCCACTTTAGGGGCCAGGCTAAGCACTGCTGAACAAAATGTTTTGAAATAGATGTGCAATCTTTAACCCTGTTTAAATAAAGGTAAATAAATTCTGCTTTGCAGATTTCTGGAGATTCAGGGCATTAAAGTCAGCCTGAGGTTCTGCTCTTAATGACTGGTGTAGGAGCTGGCTATGGAATTAAGCTCTGCATGGGGACTTCGACATAATATAATGCCACAGACCCAGATAAAATGTAGCGTAACCACCTCTTACCACATTTATTTTGTCATTGAACGATCTATTACAGAGAAGAAAGTTAAAGAGAGACTTCTATATGTAAAATATCGGCTGACAGGAAAGTAACTCCCAGTGGATATGTTTCATAGAAGGAAAGTCTGCAAATCAACATCAGTATTGGTTGCTTGACAAAAGAAGTCAGTGGAGAAAACAAAATTTCTTATAGCAAATCTGTTATTGGCATTGTGCTGCTGAATGGATTATGGCCATACAGTGACGTACATCAACCATCCCAAGATCTCGACTTCTGCTGACCTCTCCTGGCATATTTATTTTTTCTTTATTTTAATAGTTTTAATTTTTTTTTTTTACTTTCCCGAGTTTTTTTTTTATTGTCTTTATTTACTTCATTTCAAATTTTATACATTATATAAAGAGTTTTTCTATTAAATACCGTCCCATTTTCTCTTGTAAGGCTAGTTTCCTGTCCTCCTGTAACAATTTCAAATCCTTATAATCTTATTATAACAAATTCCTTCAATATTGTATCCAACATTTTCACCATATTGCAGTTTTTGAAACATGGTTTAATTATAAACGGATTGGCCAGACTAGCAGAGGCAGAGGTTTAGATCTTTTCATCCATAATACCTTGAAGTTTCAAATGCTTCATGTCTTATTTTCATCCAACTATCAGCTCCAGTGCACTTCCTATCTTATATGTTTGGCATCTCCCTCTTTTGCTTCTCTTCTATTCATCCCTTCAATTTGCCCTCTACAACTATGTTTGTTTCTATAATAATATGACTATTCCCGGTAACCTCTAATAGCCATTTCCTTTCTGATTCCAATGACAGATTCTACTTATATAATCTCTGATTTTTCCTTCCATCTAATCATTATTCCTTTTGCCCCCACCCTTCATATTTGTGGGCCTAACATGTGGTTGGTTGGGCTTATATGTCATAGATTCAGCTCAAAATTTCTCCTCTTCTTAACTCCCTGTTTTGTCCTGTCCTATCATGGTGTGATTGAATTATCATGCAATCTCTAAACTCTTGTGAGCCTTCCTGAAACCATAACTTTCTACAAACTAAAAGCTCTCACCCATGAAAACATTTTACCTGACCTTGAAACTCTGAAATGGCACAGAAGAAAAAGCACCTCTCAAAACCCTTATACCTTCCCCCACCCTCCCGTCTCATTTATGATCTGTAATGGTTTCAATGCGTGGTAAATGGTGTCTCCTATAGAATTCTATCATCATTCAAGCATTTGGTGGCTGTGATAAATGAATTTTAAATGATATTTGTGGAATTTATCTGGTTGAGCCTGTTAGTGATCAATTATCTGTGTAACTTTTGGACATCTGGTTCTTTAGAAAGAATTTGTAGTTGATTATTTTCTTAGATTTAAATCTGGCTAAGGTTAATAATTACCATGGGATAGGTAACTCAGATTCCTCACAGTTTTCATAAAGTTCATATTGGATTTTAGAAATAATAATAATACATTTAGGATGACATCAGAAAGGATTTTAAATTGGGTTTATTTCTTGCTGAATGACATGTCATAAAGTGCAATAACTTTTTTTTTGGGTAATTTTTATAGCTTAAAGTAAATCCTATGATATACTTTAGCTATAAAAGTGGCTATTCACCAACTTAACGCTTTTTTTTTTTTTTTTTTTTTAAGATATTGGTGATTAATCTTTAAATTAAAAGAAAAGGGCAAATTTAACAACAAAAGCAGTCTTAAACTCGATCAGTAAGGTGGAGTTATGTTTTGTTGTGGAACACCATTGTGTATTAGATTGTTTTAACAACTTTATTTTAAATTTAGAGATTATTTTTATCTACTGAAGTTGTCTCCTATCTCTCATTAAAGTATGTACTTGTTTATTTATATATAAATTTTTTTTTTTCTCTCAGGTTGTTAAGGACTGTGAACTGACAAGTATTTGTGGTTGGTTTGATTGTTCGTTTGAACCTATTCCAGAAAAGTTGTCAACATCACCTTTTAGCATTCCCACTCATTGGGCACAGACAAATTTTTATTTAAAACGACCACTCAAGGTAAGAGCTATTGTTACAATTATATTTTTGTTTTATCTTTTACCTTTAAGATTTAATTAATTATACAGATAAATATTCCATTATTATAAAATAATTAAATAAAATATAGTGCTTATTATTTAAAGTTTAGGTTTAGAACTAAAATATGTTTTGTTAAACCATATTTGATTAATTAATTTCTTATGGTAGAGATTTTCTATTAATATTATTTATACTGTGGTTTTTATATCTCTTATAGATGGATTATCTATTAGTTCTATTGCTTTATCTACAAGTTTATTAGCTACATTTATTTTTGTGAATGTGGATGGCCAGAGTAAAAATTCTATAATCTAATCTAAAATTTTTTTTTTTTTCATCTGGTTTGATTTTGTGGGTACCCATTATTATATCTATATTAAGAAACTCAATATTATTATTTATCAATTTTTAACTGGCATAATAATCCTGCAATTTATTGCCCTAAAATTCCTACCCCAGCCTCCCCTATCAATTTTATATTTTTTTGTTGTGTGACAACATATATTCTGGTTTAATGTTTTTACCATTGATGGAGGCTGCTTCATTATTGTTATCACTTCTAATTAATTTGTTGATACTTATTTTATTAATATTGGTTTTATTTCTGTACTTATTTGATTTTTTATTAAACTTTCTTTATTCATTTTTAAAATTAGATCACACAAGTAGTTACTTTGATGTAATACTAGTAAGTTGCAATGAGTTATTGGTCCAAGTGGTCTTTTGTGTTGAATTAATATTTCTATAAATATATTTTCATTTATTTTACATTTGGACTGAGTCTTAATAATAGAAATAAAAAGATATAATTATTATTTAAATCAGGGACTCCAAACTTTTTGGCTTGCGGGCCACAGCTCCTCTGGGTCAATAAAGGCAATAGATTGTGTTGAAAATTAGATTGGCAATGAAAAAGTTGAAAAGTCGAGAAATTAAATTTCTAAGAGATGAAACTCATGCAATTAATGTTGTATTAACCTCGTATTTGAGTATTTTACTAAATTTCATATCTTAAAAATAGTTTTTAAAATTTTACTATGCAATGAAAGAAATTTTTGTGGAAGGATTGAAGGTGCTTTTGGATCCGGCCCACGGGCCTTAGTTTGGAGACACCAGATTTATTTATTTAATTGCTTCATAATTTTATAAAATTTATATTTTGATTGTTTCTTCAAGGTTGAAGCTGGTAATACATTGGTTGGTAAGATAAGGGTTGCTCCTAAAGGCAATCGGGGTCTACAAGTCACAATAGAACTTCCTTCAGTCAACGAAACAATGACATATGCTTTGCAGTAATTGATAATGTTTTGGAGAATTAATATTTACAATTGTGGAAACGTAACTTATTGTAATGTGAGTATACTTTGGTGAAAGAGGATAGTTATCTTTAATTATAGAATTGTCCTTTCTTATTAATTCCAAATAATATATTGTATCTGTGATATAAAGTTAAAAATAAAATCAAGGTTATTTCATCACTCACTTTTTAGATTAGCATTTTTAATTTTTTCTCACTATTTCATCACTCACTTTTTAGATTAGCATTTTTAATTTTTTCTCACTTGTATAATTGCTATGTTATTATTATTATTAGATGGCGTTATGACCCACTTATTGAGTCAAAGCCTGCCCTATTATAGATCGCCATTCCTCTATGTTTGCTGCCGCTACCTTCCAGTTCTGGATACCTAACAGGTACCTTGCGTCTGTAACCACTCCATCCTCTCAGTTTCTTGTTCCATTTAAACGCTCTGATAAGACTTTTATGTGGAATCTCATTTGGTTCCATCCTAGCAACATGGCCTGCCCAACGAAGCCTTAATAACGTTAAGGTGTTGAGGTACATACATCAACATCTCCATTTACGGTCCTTAACTCAACATTATTTCTTCTCCTCCGTATGTCTTGTTCACAGACACCACTGTATATTGTTGTAAATACCTTTTTTTTGAATCTGATAGGACCTGTTCTTTGTATTTGGTCAATGTCCTACATTCCGACCCATCTGTAAGGACCGGTCAGATAAGCGTCTTCTAAATTCTTGTTTTTCCATCCCTACATAATGCCTAACTTTTTAAAAGCTTCTGGAGGGTGAAATAAGTTTGCTAGGAATATTCGGCTTTTTATTTTCTTTTTTTTTCTTCCCTACCTCGCTTTTTAGGCTATATGGGATTTTCCTGGGCCAGAGGGTGAGGGCGGGGAATTTAAAATTCCCTCTGCCACCGGGACGCAAACTCGTACTTTTTTAATCTCATATTCAGGTCATCTGGTTGCCAGGCAACTCGCGGTGTGATGCATACTCGTTAGCCCATTCGGCCACCCCGCCCCTGAAATACGTGCAATTTGCTAGGAGTATTCGCCTTATTATTTCTTCATCCATATTATTGTGAGAGTTCACTTGGGTTCCTAGATCGATGAATGATTGTACCCTTTCGAATCTATGCTTTCCCAACACAAAGTATCTCTAATCATTTTCACGTTAAAGTAGAGTGCTCATATATTTTGTCTTTTTCATTTATGAATGCAATACAATACAACATGGAAATACATGTTTTGAGGTCCCCTGAGTCCAAATAACCAAGTCCCTCAAAATGGTCTGTGTGTGTGTGAACAGTCCAGCTCAAAAACGAAAAATCATACGAAAGTCAAATTGCATATTTAAGGTTTTTATATGCTTGGCATGTTACAATAAATTTTTTGTCAAAATCAGCTAACCGGAAATTGCACTTTATATCAGGGACTAAACACATTTTTTCGTAAACAGATCTAACAATTTTGATTAAATTCATTATATCAGTGTAAAATTAAGCAGTTTTAAATAAAATGTAGGTTTTATTCTGATTGATGTTCTCTGACAGGGCTTAAATGGATAATTTTTAATATTAGCTTCCCCTTACGTATCTTTTATTTTTTTTATTTGAAAAAATTGACCATTTCACATTAATCTCAAATATAAAAGATAGTTAAATATAAAATATGAAAGAATTTGATGCTTACTAAAGGAGAAATAAGAGATTGTAACGGAGAATAGTTGTAATTGAGGAACCAAAGCAATACGAGCGCAACCGAGCTTGCCCGAAAGATTAGAATACACTTCCTATACGTAACATGAACTTAATATCAGTGTCGGCCTTAGGATGGGACAACCAGGACAATTGCCCCAGGACGCCGGCCTGGGTGGTGCCTATTGGGGCCACCAAATGATCTTCAGGGCCACTTGTAGCTCACCACTTGTTAGAAAATTAAAAAGAAATACAAAACGTATAAAAATAATTAATTTTAGCCTATCAATAAAGCGAATATAAAGAGAAAGGTCGAATGAAAAAAAAATTACATAATATAAAACAGCTTAAGAAATAAATTTTATTTTTTTAGGGGGGAAGGGGAAGATAACTTCATTGCCTGGGGGGCGCCAAATGCTTAAGGCCGCCACTGCTTTAATATAATAAGGACTGACAGTATTATGTAAATATACATATGTGGCGGTTTTCATAAATGCTATTGTTGGTATTATTAAATATTTAATTGTATAGATTACAGCGATATAAATATTAAAATTTGTATATGTAAGAGTACTTTAAAAAATAAAAATATCCACAATGAAATATAAACCAATATAATTTTTACTTTCACTTTCTTTTTGTCTCAAAATACATATTTCTGCTAAAAAGTGGGTGGTAAGTGAAAGTTGTGTAATGCGTGTCCCGCACCAGATTTTTTTTAATTCGTCATAATGTTAGATGGAAAGAATGCAGAACAAACTATTATGACTTTGGTATTGTTAAAAGTTTTCTTCTCTTAATTTGTTTGTTCTTATAAATGTCTCTCTTTTCCTCTCTCATCATCCTTAGTGATAATATAGTGAAATGGTTATATGTGTGGCGGTTACTCTTTATGGACTGCATTTTAATTTTTATTGTGGATAGTTATCGAAATATACCAATATCAGTAACTTGTAATTTAAGTTGTTTACTAACTGTTTTTTGTATGTTTCAGGTCAGAAGCCAGTATTCAGGAGCATTGCCGTAATGTTAATAAAAAAATAAGCTAAACACTTCCTTAAATTATTTTTAATCATGATGGAAAAACTCATAATTTCATGAATATTAGATTTAATCCATTTTAGGGGCGCTAAAACCGATTCACTGATTTATTTAAACGTCTTTTGTTATAATTTTATTTAAACCTCAGATAATTTTTATATTTTTGATAATTACAGTTACAAGATAATGAATTTAATTATAATTATATGACAGGCTAAATTTAAACGTGTTATATTATAATTTTATTTAAACCTCAGATAATTTTTATATTTTTGATGATTACAATTACAAGATAATGAATTTAATAATGATTATATGACATGCTAAATTTAAACGCATTTAAACGTGTTATATTATAATTTTATTTAAACCTCAGAAAATTTTTATATTTTTGATAATTACAATTACAAGATAATGAATTTAATTATAATTATATGACAGGCTAAATTTAAACGTTTAAACGCATTTAAACATTTTTATTATAATTTTATTTAAACCTCGGATAATTTTTATATTTTTGATAATTACAATTACAAGATAATGAATTTAATTATAATTATATGACAGGCTAAATTTAAACGTGTTATATTATAATTTTATTTAAACCTCAGATAATTTTTATATTTTTGATTATTACAATTACAAGATAATGAATTTAATTATAATTATATGACAGGCTAAATTTAAACGTGTTATATTATAATTTTATTTAAACCTCAAATAATTTTTATATTTTTGATAATTACAATTACAAGATAATGAATTTAATTATAATTATATGACAGGCTAAATTTAAACGTGTTATATTATAATTTTATTTAAACCTCAGATAATTTTTATATTTTTGATGATTACAATTACAAGATAATGAATTTAATAATGATTATATGACATGCTAAATTTAAACGCATTTAAACGTGTTATATTATAATTTTATTTAAACCTCAGAAAATTTTTATATTTTTGATAATTACAATTACAAGATAATGAATTTAATTATAATTATATGACAGGCTAAATTTAAACGTTTAAACGCATTTAAACATTTTTATTATAATTTTATTTAAACCTCGGATAATTTTTATATTTTTGATAATTACAATTACAAGATAATGAATTTAATTATAATTATATGACAGGCTAAATTTAAACGTGTTATATTATAATTTTATTTAAACCTCAGATAATTTTTATATTTTTGATTATTACAATTACAAGATAATGAATTTAATTATAATTATATGACAGGCTAAATTTAAACGTGTTATATTATAATTTTATTTAAACCTCAGATAATTTTTATATTTTTGATAATTACAATTACAAGATAATGAATTTAATTATGATTATATGACATGCTAAATTTAAACGCATTTAAACGTGTTATATTATAATTTTATTTAAACCTCAGATAATTTTTATATTTTTGAAAATTACAATTACAAGATAATGAATTTATTTATAATTATATGACAGGCTAAATTTAAACGTTTAAACGCATTTGAACGTTTTTATTAAAATTTTATTTAAACCTCGGATAATTTTTATATTTTTGATAATTACAATTACAAGATAATGAATTTAATTATGATTATATGACAGGCTAAATTTAAACGTTTAAGCACATTTAAATGTTTTCATTATAAATTTATTTAACCCTCAGATAATTTTTATATTTTTGAAAATTACAGTTACAAGATAATGAATTTATTTATAATTATATGACAGGCTAAATTTAAACGTTTAAACGCATTTGAACGTTTTTTATTATGATTTAATTTAAACCTCGGATAATTTTTATATTTTTGATAATTACAATTACAAGATAATGAATTTAATTATAATTATATGACAGGCTAAATTTAAACGTGTTATATTATAATTTTATTTAAACCTCAGATAATTTTTATATTTTTGATAATTACAATTACAAGATAATGAATTTATTTATAATTATATGACAGGCTAAATTTAAACGTTTAAACGCATTTAAACGTTTTTATTATAATTTTATTTAAACCTCGGATAATTTTTATATTTTTGATAATTACAATTACAAGATAATGAATTTAATTATGATTATATGACATGCTAAATTTAAACGTGTTAATATTATAATTTTATTTAAACCTCAGATAATTTTTATATTTTTGATTATTACAATTACAAGATAATGAATTTAATTATAATTATATGACAGGCTAAATTTAAACGTGTTATATTATAATTTTATTTAAACCTCAGATAATTTTTATATTTTTGATAATTACAATTACAAGATAATGAATTTAATTATGATTATATGACATGCTAAATTTAAACGCATTTAAACGTGTTATATTATAATTTTATTTAAACCTCAGATAATTTTTATATTTTTGAAAATTACAATTACAAGATAATGAATTTAATTATAATTATATGACAGGCTAAATTTAAACGTTTAAACGCATTTAAACGTTTTATATTATAATTTTATTTAAACCTCAGATAATTTTTATATTTTTGATAATTACAATTACAAGATAATGAATTTAATTATAATTATATGACAGGCTAAATTTAAACGTAACGTTTATTATTATAATTTTATTTAAACCTCAGATAATTTTTATATTTTTGATAATTACAATTACAAGATAATGAATTTAATTATGATTATATGACATGCTAAATTTAAACGCATTTAAACGTGTTATATTATAATTTTATTTAAACCTCAGATAATTTTTATATTTTTGATAATTACAGTTACAAGATAATGAATTTAATTATATGACAGGCTAAATTTAAATGTTTAAACGCATTTAAACGTTTTTATTATAATTTTATTTAAACCTCGGATAATTTTTATAATTTTGATAATTACAATTACAAGATAATGAATTTAATTATAATTATATGACATGCTAAATTTAAACATGTTTTATTATAATTTTATTTAAACCTCAGATAATTTTTATATTTTTGGTAATTACAATTGCAAGATAATAAATTTAATTATAATTATATGACAGGCTAAATTTAAACGTTTAAACACATTTAAACGTTTTTCATTATAATTTTATTTAAACCTCAGATAATTTTTATTTTTTTGATAATTACAATTACAAGATAATGAATTTAATTATAATTATATGACAGGCTAAATTTAAACGTTTAAACGCATTTAAACGTTTTTTATTATAATTTTATTTAAACCTCAGATAATTTTTATATTTTGATCATTACAATTACAAGATAATGAATTTAATTATATTTATATGACAGGCTAAATTTAAACGTGTTATATTATAATTTTATTTAAACCTCAGATAATTTTTATATTTTTGATAATTACAATTACAAGATAATGAATTTAATTATAATTATATGACATGCTAAATTTAAACGTGTTATATTATAATTTTATTTAAACCTCAGATAATTTTTATATTTTTGATAATTACAATTACAAGATAATGAATTTAATTATAATTATATGACAGGCTAAATTTAAACGTGTTATATTATAATTTTATTTAAACCTCAGATAATTTTTATATTTTTTATAATTACAATTACAAGATTATGAATTTAATTATGATTATATGACAGGCTAAATTGCACCTACAGTTGTTATTTTAACATAAAAAACATTCATTATAATGGGGTTGTAGTTGACTTCCTCAAGGATATAATTTTGGGGTTGGGGATGTGGTAAAAAATTAAACAGACTATAATGAATATTTACTGTTTAAAAATATTTTCTGTGTAAAATCTACCATGTTTGTGAATGTTCACATACATCCTCGGCCCTACAGACTATCCGGAGTTCTGGCTTCCAAATGAAATTGCTTTCAATCATCTTTGTGCCTTGACATTATCTTTCAGCTTAGTACTCAGATCCAACCAACTTGTCAGATGTTCTCTGGGAAAAATCTTATATTCTTTAGAAGTAGGAACTATGAATATTTCAATTGAAATTTATTCAGTATTGATACTGATGTGATACAATTTATATATCTGCAGTAGGTTCTGTAATTTATATTTGTTATATATTATAAGTTCAATTTTACCATATAAAAAAATTGTTAATTATGAAACATTCTTTTTTTGTTTTTCTTGTATATAATGTTAGTTTCATGTTTTAGAAATTGTTAGTTATAGTTTCAATAAAATGGGAGGTGTAAATCTTTATTTCTACTGTAAGGATTGGGTCAACTTAATCATTAAATAGTTTCTGTTATGTAAATATTTACATATTTTCTAATCTGCGTAAATGATATTAATGTTTTATTTGTTTGTAGTATCTTTTTAATATATTTTTTAAATTTACAATTGGCTTGTTCAGTTTTTTCAAAAAACATATATTTTAAAATGTGGTATTTTTTTTAATAAGGCAAATTTTGTTTTCTTACCATCCCTGTATGATTATTTTATTTATTTATTTTTTAATTTTTAAATATATTGTGCTGTAATTTTGCTTTAAATAAGGTTTGTAAATTTCTTTTGTGTATTTGTTTCTGTAAATAAATATTTTTCAAATATAAATTTGAACTACAGGTATTCATTAATCGTTTAAAATTACTTTTAATTACCTGTTAAAACCTTTTGGTTGTTGTTGCATTATTTTTTAACATAATGCAAAGCTTTGAAATTAAAGCTTCATAAATCTTCGATCTATGCTGTTAACCAGTTAAGCATCATCATTCTTTAATATAATAAAATCGATTCATAGAAAACAAGTTAATGATTAAGGGTGAACTCACCAATGAGCTCATCTAGTATCATAAATTCATCAGATTGTCTCCAAACTCATATTTGGAAAGCCATTTGCCTATCTCTTAATTCAATGATTAAATTACTGATAACTCATTTCATCAGCAGTTTGGGTCACTAGATCAATGGATATCACATCATTACAACTTCTATTTTGTTAGTTACCTTTTTAAAAAACAGTTGGTATCAGTGTATTTCAACTCAAAATGGAATCTTTTATGCTTAAGAAACTTTATTGCCCATGTATATCGATAATAGTTTTTTTTTTACATTTATAACTGAAAAACTTAAAAAAAATGGGAACACTGTAATTTTGATCTCTTAAACATGGAATGACTGTGAGCCAGAATCTTCATCTCGAATGTGACAGGTGGGCACTGCACAGTGGGTAGGATGAAGAGCTCTATTCTGTGGCCATGGCAACTTTAGTCAAATTCCATCATGATTAAAAAACTAAGGTGT